CGGGGGAATCCTGGGCCATTTGTATGTATTACATTTTCACTTAGTAGAAAATGAAGCCGTAGTTTGCAGCTGAACATAGCAAATAGAGAACATCCATTTCCTCCTGCTCCCTCCCCAGTGTCTAAAATGAGAGTAAGAGGAGAGAAAAATAAACTAGATAGTTATTAACTCTAAGAAAATTATAAATAGCCCATGAATGAAAATACTATCACACGTAGCTCTTTTCTAAACAGTATTTATATAACCCTTAATGCTAATGAAAACATTAAATACTTATTTTTAAGAGAAACTGTGATGTTACGGTCCCCGAAGACCTGCAAGGCATATGATCATGCCGCTGGGGGTGTGACAGGAGGCCAAGTGGAGGGGTGCTGAGGACTCGAGCTCTGCAAGTCACCAGATAACATGTCAGAGTAAAAAGCTTAAAGATCAAGATCGAGCAGCAACGAAATAAACCCCAGAAAAGGCAGCTAGCGAACTTGGAGGGTGGATTGTGGGTGGGGACCTTACAGCGAGCTCTGTTCTTTTTCGTTGTAAACCTATGAAGGTTGAAATACCTGTGAATTCAGGGAGTACTGTCAAATCCTTGCTAATAACTTGTCAGGTTATTAATCCCATCTGTGGATTAAGTATCAAAAGCAGGATGTGGGGCCGGGATTTAGCTCAGCAGCATAAGCGCCTACCTGGCAACCGTGAGGTCATGAGTTTGATCCCCGGTAACAGAAACAAAAAATAGCAGTATCTGAGGAAAGAGACTAGCTGCGGGCAGTTGTCACCCTCCTTTTTTAGAGGGGACAGGAATCTGCAGCTTTCCCCAGCCCAGGGCACCAGCCATGGACATCCTCACGGCAAACCATCCCCAGTCAGATGAGGTGCTCTCATAATTACTGGAGGTGATGGGGTCCAGCTGAGCGTCCGGAAGACAAGGAGTGCCCGGAAGTGAGCAGCAGGCACCGCTGGGCTGGCACCGAGTAGGCAGGGGTGTCACCAGCACTTACCCATAACCAGGCTAAGTCCTGTCTTGCTTGGTCTTTGACTATTAAGAATCAAATTACTTTTATGGTCTTCTCTCTAAGCCTTTGCAGTTTACAAAGCCCTTAAAGGCCAGGGTCAAGGTGCGAGGGGGCTCAGTGTCAGTGGGGGGAGGGGGTGCTGTGTCTCTGCCTTATGAATGACACCATCCGTGTGTCCTCATAAGGCCAAAGAGACAAGTAATCACCTTTGCACTTAATAAGGCCTCTGTGACAGTTTAGGTCTAGAATGTCTCCAGAAGTCCCATGCATTTAGAGGTGGGACTTTAAGAAGGTGACTAAATCATGGGGTGCCAAACTTCTCAGTGGATTCATCCCCTGATGTGCTCTTGGGAGGAAGACACGGGTCACTGGGGGTGTGAGCCAGATGGGTCCATTCTTGTCCCCAGCTTCCCTTCTCTCTGCTTCCGGGCTGCCATGAGGAGAGCAACTTTCCTCCACCGACCCCTTCCACCATGTTATTGCTGCCTGGGATCCCGGCAACCATGGGTGGAACCGTCTAAATTGTAAGCTAAGCTAAGCCTCTCTTCCCTGAAGTTGTGAATGCTGAGCATTGTCCTCCAGCAACAGAAAAGCGAACTAATACAGACATTTATGAGGGCAGACCTCTCATGGTTCGTGACCTCTTAAAGTCCCCACCTCTTGGTCACCGTGGCATCAGAGATTAGGCTTCAACATATAGATTTTGAGGGACCATGAGCACCCCACCTATGCAGGCTCTATCAGTCCTATAACACTTTTCTCCTTTTGTACCACCCCCCCCCCGCAAGTAGACCTTGGAGCATTAAACATTTAAGGGTAAAGACAAATATGGCCCATGATCCTTAAGTGTGGTGGCACTTTGGAGCCACTGATCAATCTAAGGAAACACTCACGCCCAGGTCCCACACACGTAAATCTGAATTTTTGAATTTTCATGGTGATCTAACATTTCCTGGGTGATTCTCCTGGTCAGCACTAGGCTGCCTCTGTTGCCCTGAATCAATAAAACCCCACATCCACTGCTCATCCCACCGTGGGCATCGGCAAGGCTGGGCCAGTACCTTCCATGCTTCGTTGGTTTAAGGATAAAGATGTATTTAATGCTCACATGAGTCCTCTACAGGTCTCCAGGGCAGCTGTCGTCCATGTGGCAGCTCGGTGTCCGCTGCCCCTTCATCTCAAATCCTGCTCCCCTGGTTGCCATGGCAGAAGAAAAAAGCCCAGAATGTTCCTGGCCCAGCCAATTAATGCTGCAGCCCACTGGCCAAGCTGTGCCACAGGACCCCGCCCAGTGGCAGATGTGGGGGCGACAGGTGTCATCTCCTCATGTACCCCGGTTATGGCTAAGGGCCAGTGACACCACCGCCCACTCCGTGCCAGCCTCGCTGTGCCTGCTGCCCACTTCCTGGCTTTCCCTGTCTTCCCTGGGGCTCAGCAGGACCCCATCACCTCCTCGAAGCTCCACTCGATGACATCTTTCCCCCCAGCCACCAACTGCACTCTTATCTGTGGGATGCATTTGGCGCACAGAGTTCATTAGTGTTTGCAGAGGCTATTTCCTCTCTGGTGAATAATTTAATCTCTGGACTTCGGGCAAAGTAACATGAGGAACTGCTTTTCTAGCCCATAAGGAGAATTTAGCAGGAATGTGAGAGAGGCAGGTGCCTGGGATTTGAGCTCCAGGATTTCTGAGCACTCCGGACCGGGACAGGGATTCGGTGGTACAAGCGGACGCTGGGTCTTTGGAAACACTGTTCTCAAGTCTTTCGTCCTGAGGCGTAAAACCAGAGACACCAGCTTGAGTGTGACCCCAAGGCTCACTTGCTGGATACTCAGACCTCAGGGCAGCAGTGTTGGAAACTTCCAGAGGCAAGGTTAGGCAGACTGGGGCTGGCGTTTTGGACCCCTAGTTTCCGGGATGATTTTTTTCCAGCTCAGCCTTGCTTTAGGGGGAAGAAGTTATGCACCAGGCACTAGTATGTGACCCATCGGTCTGTGTGGGGCTGCTCCAACAAAATGCCTGAGGCTGCATGCTTTAGGAACGAGAGGATTTAGCGCAGCTTTAGAGGCTGGAAGTGGAAGATCATGTGGCCCCATCTGTTCAGCCTCTGATGGGCTGTCCTTCCCACTGGCCGTGTCACAAGGTATCAGGGAAGCAGAAAGAAAAACGTCTGCCTTCTCGAGGGACCAGGTGTGCGTGCGATAGCACAACACACGCCTCAGGGAACCAACTCACACCTGAGGCCGGCTTGAGCCCCCCTGGGGGTGCTGCCCCATGTCCTGACCACCTTTCACTAGGCTCCAGCCCAGCACTGCCACACTGGGACCCGGCTTCCGGCACAGGAGCCTTGAGTTCACACTGTAACCGTATCAAAGCCATGACTCATGTGCTTTATAAGTAATGACTCACTGAACCTTAATTCCCACCCGTGAGGTCCCTGTTACCCCCCTCCACAGGCTAAGGGACCAACCTGTCACTAGCGAGAGGCAGGAGCTAAGCTCCGCATGCCCAGCCTTGCGCAGTCGGGATGAGTGGGCACCGTCTAGTTCTCCTCGGAATTGGTCTTGCTCAATTTCAATCCCCATCCTACCCCTCACTAACTGGGCAGCTTATGGACCTCTCTAGTCGGCCTTTCTCTCACCTTCAAAGAGAGATTAACAAACGGACCTCTAGGGTTATCATGATGATTGGAAAAATGAAAGACTCTAGTCATGGAACCAGTTTAAACCGGCCTTAGGGGGCCCCCTGCCTGTGATTCTGGGAGGCTGAGGCAGGAGGATTACAAATTTAAGCCCTGCTTGAGAAACTTAGCAAAACCCTGTCTCAAATTATAAAATAGTAAAAATGGGCTGAGGATGTAGCCCAGTGGAAAACCTCGGGGTTCGATCTCCAGTGACACCTCCACCTCCCACCCCCAAAAAGTTTAACACAGAAGCTGGCACGGAGGAAAGCCTCCGTACATTATTAGTCTTTATTTGACCCACATCTCTTAGCTCATGAAGTCCAAGCAAATGCTGCTAACCATTTATTCTCTTCCTTACACAGCTAGAATGTGCTGAACAGTGTCCCAGAAGAGGAAATGGCTGGCTTTACTACAAGACAGAAGGTAGCACTTTCTCTCTCTCTCTTTTTTTTTTTTTTTTTTTTTGTCTTTTTCATTTTTATCGGTACCAGGGATCAAACTCACGACCACCTGCTTACAAGGCAGGCACTTATGCTGCTGAGCTAAATCCCCAGTCCCAAAGGTAGCACTTTCAAAACACACTTATTTCTCCCACAGTCTGAGCGGGTCAGGAACCCAGGTGCAGCCCAGCTGGGTCCCCTCTGCAATCAAAAGGTCAGCAGGGCTGCTTTCACCTCTGGAGACAGCCCTGGATTAGGACCCACTCCCATGTAGGACACGGTTGTCCCTTGGCTGTGGGGCTGAGTCGAATTCCTCGCTGGTTATTCAGTGTTGGCCGTCAGCTGACTGCCACGGTAACACCTCCAGCTTGTTCACCAGAGCACAAGCTTGGAAAGAGGAGAGAGAGACAGAGAGGAAGTCGCAGTGTCCGGAACCAGAGACAGTGACGTCCCCCTGCTTTATCACAGGCTACTGCTCAGCAGGGAGCCACTTTCAGGGCCCCAGGGTCAGTCTGTTAGCTGGAGAAGCAGCTCCTCTGTAGATCTCGCTCCAGTGCCTGCAGAGGCTGACATCCAGGGCTCCGCCTCTCAGATGAGCCTCCTGGGGCCCTCCTGAGCCTCAGTTTCCCAGCAGGTACACAGCCCAGGTGGGCACAGAGATGCCGGAGATGCTGCAGGAGCTCGCATCCCGCTCCGCACAGCCCCGGTTCAGTGAAGTCCACAATCTTAATTCAATTAAGCTGATGAAGTTAGAGTTCCCTGCATTCTTGGCGAGCAGCCAGACCCATGCTGACTGCTGTGAGGTCCTCCCAGGTTCTGGGGCTGATGGCGGGCACGGGCGGCTAGGGAGGAAAGAAGGAAGGAAGGAAGGAAGGAAGGAAGGAAGGAAGGAAGGAAGGAAGGAAGGAAGGAAGGAAGGAAGGAAGGAAGGAAGGAAGAAAGGAAGGAGGCGGGACCGCACATGGGTCCTGGAGGAAGGAGAGGCCTGGGCACTTCTGCTGCCCTGCTCCCGCCGCCCCTGAAGGCTCACAGCTGCCTCCTGCCCAGCGGGGCTGGTGCAGAGCCCTCCCTTGATGAGATGAAAGGCCCCGTCCTTCCCAGGTGCGTAATTCCGAGCAGCAGCCCTGCTTCCTCATGTGATCAGAACAAAAGTATGTCCCTGAGGCGAACGAGGCTCCCAGCCCCCACATCTCCTGTCCCTGCTCCTGTGGGCTCAGAGAGGCCCACCCATGGGTGCGCTGCTCACACACCTCCTCCTCCCCCACGGCAGCCAGACAGACATGGGGAGACAGGGTGCTGGCCTTGTCCCCAGACTCCACGTGGCCCGGAATGAGGCCCTTCCCCTGCTGGGCCTCAGTCTCCCATGCATCCAGGGATGATTAGATGCCCCGAAGGGATTCCCACAGCTCTTACACCACCCTAGACTGAGTGGGGAAGGCGGGTGTCACTAGCTGATAGGAACTTCCATGAGTTGAATGACAGTATCCACCCAGAAACCCATGTTCAAACTTGCCCCTGCCCATGCAGAGGTTATCTCAGCCCTCAGCCCTCTAGGAGGCTGAGGCAGGAGGATCGTAAGATTGAGCTCAGCCTGGCAACTCAGCAAAATTCTGCTTTCACCCATCATCACCTGTTCCACTATGTAAGGATTCGGGCTCACACCGCTCCAGGGGACACGCAGACCAGACTCTGTCCTGAAAGCAGAGAGCAGCTTCACCAGACAAGTGAACCCACCACCTGCCAGTGCCTCGAGCTTGAACTTCTGAGCTTCAGGAACGGTGAGAAAAAGACTTCTCTCTTTTATACATTACTGTCTCAGATATTTCATTACAGCAGAACAGATGGCCTATGAGGGTTGGGGCAGGGGCACTGCCCTTTGCTGACAATGAAAGAAAGATTCCCCCACCAGGGGGCCAAGAAGGCTGCCACAGCTCTGGACATCACATCTTCACACCATGGAGTTAAACACGAGAAGGACATAGTGTGTGGGGATTCTGTTCTGCCATTCCATGTTGCTGCTGCCTTACCAGGAAGGAAACTCCTTTCCAAAGACTTTCCTTGATGTCATATTTGATTTAAATCTGCCTCCCAAAATGAAATAGTCAAGTCCTTCTGATCATGTGTATTTGGAAACAGGGTTATTGGCTGCAGATGTACTGAGCTGAGGTGAAGTCTCATGGGAGTGGACCCCTAATTCCCTACAAGAGGTGAGATGCCAAGAGGAGCCAGCTACGGGACAGCATGGCACCAGAGACAGAGTTGGCGAGGAGACCTGAGGACTCCCAGGGACACCGGAAGCAAAGAGAAAGCAGGGGCCCAGTCTCGGCCCCCGCCCCGGAGCCTTGGAGAGAGCGCAGCCCAGCAGATGGTGTGGTGTCAGACTTCCAGCCCCCCAGAGGGTCCATGCTGTGAAGCCACTGTGGTCACGGCAGCCTAGGAATCGAACCTGTAACCTGCTGCCTCCAATGAGGTCCCTGGAAAGAGCTCACGCTGCCAACTCAGCCACAGCTCATTGTGTGAGGCCGGGCATGTAGCTTCCAGGACACCCGCTTGTCCCTCTCTTCGGGCTCCGGGGTCCCAGCAGCAGCTCCTGCCCAGGGCCGCCTCCACCTGGAACTGGCACTCAGTCCTGTGACACCCCCTCCCCTGGGGACCAGGCCCACCCAGCGCTGGCTCCGGCCTGAGCTCCAGCCCAGGTGCGTGGCTGCTCCCCGCTTCTCTCAGTGCCATCACCCGTTAACCAGTTTCCTGCATTACATCACTTCCGGTACACAGACTTTGGGAGACCTTGTGTTCCTGGCTCCGTGGAACTGCTGAGTCCCTCTCTGCCCCCTGGAGTTTTAGTGACGATCTGCTTGCCTCTCTTACCCTCTCATCTGAGGGCTGTGTGGTGCAGGGTCTGTGCCAGCCGGCTCACTGTTAGGCCCATGTACCCCGAAACAGTGCATGGGCACAGTAATTACCCAAGGAAGGCGTGCATGGTGAATGAATAAAATATCACAGTCAGCTTCCTGCCTGCCTGTTAAGCCCACCTTCTCTTTCTTCATCTTTCAGTCCCCCCTTGCTCAAGAAAATAAACCTTGCTGCTCCGCCCTCCTGCTGAAGGTTTACTAAGTGGGGGCACACAGCACAGGGAAACCACGGCAGTGACCTCTGTCCAACCAGGCCACCCACTTCCACCACTCCTCCTCCTCTGGTGTCCAAGAAGACAGAAAAGGAGCCGGGCATAAACACCACACTCACCCGGGTAGGGGAATTCCAGCAGAGGACACAGTTGCAGCTCCCACAGGGGACTTCCTCCTGGCACCCAGGGGCTGTGGAGAGGGACTGTTGCAGAGGAAGGCTCTGTCCCCACCTCCCCTTCCCAGGGATGCAGGCCCCAGGATGCGTCCCTGCAGCTCTGCTTTGCCGGAGGAGGGTTTGCAAGGACCACGTGCTGGCCTGGGCCCCAGGTCTGCTGGGTGGGAGGGTCGTTCTGGGTCTGGCAGCCTAGCGTGGGAGGCAAGGTGACAGGTGCCAGGTGGGGATGGCAAGGCTGAAGTCTGAGCTGATGCGGCCCCTCCCCTCCACAGTGAACACATCATACACCAAGCAGCGAGAGGTGGGCCGCAGCTGGAGGAGGTTTGCAGGGGGAGGTCAGAGCATCCTGCCTCATGCAGATGAGAGATGAACCCCAGGTGTCCAGAGTGGGGGCGATCTCACCACAAGCAATAGAATCTGCCTAAGACCCAGCAGGCAGGAAGGGAGGGCAGAAAGATGGTTAGACAAAGACTTAGGGTCCAGGACTCCTGGGATCACTGTCAACATCCCTCTTTGAAGTTCAGCTTCAAAGGCCCCAGGCCAGATAGAACGTTTTGACTCCACTATGTCAGTGAGATCTCAAAGGGTAAGACACAGGTCACCATTGGGGGTGAGGAACCCGAATCTGCCAGACAACCCCACCCCGTGAAGTCCCCATCTCCACATGGAACAGCGGCAAAGCTGCCTGGGGGTGCTGAGCTGTGGGGGAGGTGGAGGGGGCGAGGGGAGAGCAAGGCTGGTGTTGCTGGGGGCTGACCCCGAGCAGCCTGCCTTCCTAGGCACCAGAGCCAGTGCCAGGCCCTCCTCGTTGTTCGTTTAATCTTTAACGTAGTGCTCAGTACCTGTCATCTCAGTCACTGGGAGGCTGAGGCAGGCAGATCACAAATTCAACCCCAGCCTGAACAATTTAGTCACTTAGTGAGACCCTTTCTCAAAATAAAATACAAAACAGGGGCTGTGGGTACCGCTCAGCAAGAATGCTTTGGGTTCGATTCCTGGTACTACACACATAGACACCAAAAAAAAAAATGTAGCCAGCAGAAGTAGCTACTGTTGTCCTTGTTGTAGAGAGGAAAACACCAAGCCTCAGAGAGACAAGAAACTTGGAGGGGCACACAGCTATGTTAGTGGTCCCAGCTGGGTCTGGGAACCAGATCTACTGGCCACCGAGAACCATCAAGCTTGGCCTGTCCAGCGTATCCCCCATGGCCTGCAGAGGGGCAGCTCTTGCGTGACTGATGCTAAGGGGACCGGAAGTGTCTGGACTCAGCTATCCACAGGCCTGGGCCTGGAGTTCTCAGAGGCCCCGGCCCCTCGCTCTGTGCTCCTAACACCTTTCCTGGTTATGACAGCTCAGCTCTGCTCAGCTCTGCAGGCTCGCGCTCCCGCACGGCTTGGGCACAGCCTCTGTCTTACCCCAACCTTTGCCAACTCCGCTGGCCCTCCTGGGCAGCCCCTACCTCTGATTTACCATCCACAAACTGCCATCACTGTCCTCAAAGGCAGCTCTGGTGGTGCCATCTGTCTCCCCACAAAATCCCCTGGGGACAGCCATGGACGGAAGGAAAACACCCCAACCTTTCCGCACTGGCGGAGCCCCCTCACAGTTCTGCGCCCTCTGGGACACGGAGGCACAGATGCCATCCTGCATCTGTCTCGAGTTCGCACCCAACTTTGCCCCTGTTCCTGCCATGTTTCCTGTCTAGCTGGGCTCTCTGCACCCGATATTTCCTTTGGTAAAATGTCATCTTTCCTGCCCAACCCAAATGTCACATGCGTTTTCCCAGTAGTCTCTCCTGTGTGTCTCCCCTCCCTGCAGACAGCTGAGCTGGGGGAAGAGGGTAACGGCAAAGGTAACGATGACACATTGTGCCAGGCACTCAGCCAAGGGCTTGTCACACTTTAGCTCACAACCACCCAAGAAAGAGCTGCCACACCTGTAATCCAGGCATTCTGGGAGGCTGAGGCAAGAGGATCACAAGTTGCTTGGGCAACTTGGCAATCCTGTCTTAAACTGACAATTTTAAAAGCAGCTGAAGATGTAGCTCAGTACAAAGGCTTGGGTTTAATCCCCAGCACTGCAAAGAAAGAAAAAAAGGGGAGCCAGGGAGGCTGAGCACATTGTGACACACTAGTAAAGGGGAGGAGTCAGACCACTATAGCCACGCAGTCCTGTACCCCCGACACCGGAAGCATATACTATCCCCGAACCGCCTCTGCAGGACTAGCGCCAGCCTGATCTGTCTCCTCTGCTCACCTGTAGCCCTGAGGCAGGGCTTGTCTTAGGAGTCCCCTCCTGAGTCCAGCACAGCACCAAGGACAAGGATAATGGGCACTTATTGGAAAAAGCAAATGAAACCGGGCCCCGAAAGATGGCCCAGCTGTGAGATGAGCTGCTTCCCCGCTGGCTCCTGAGCCCTCAGTGAGGAAGAAGGGAGGTCACTTGGAGGAAGGGAAGTCACTTGTCCCTCACAGTCCCCTGGGCCAGGTGCTCAGGGCAGGTATAGGGTCCGCCTCTGCAGAGTTCCAAACGCCCAGGTCTCGGGAATAACATGCAGCTGCCCCTGGGTGCACCTCGTTGCTGCCACACCTCGGACCCTTCCCCCAGGGCTCCTCCAGGCTCTGCCGCCCCCTGCTTCCCCTGCCCGCCACCCCTTCCTGTGCTGGCTCCTCCAGGAAGCCGCTGTCCTGCCGCATGTCCCAGGGCGCTCCTCATGCCCCTGCCTATGACTCGCTCTCTAGAGTTGCCACACTTCAACAAAGTCACCCTGTCACGCGCACAGCCCCGCAGGGAAGTTTGGGAGCAGAGTTTGTCTTATCATTAGTGCCTGTTTCCCGTCCCTGGTGCCACGCCTGGAAGGAGATTAGCAGCAGACCAGAGACTGCTCGAACAGAAATCATCTTTGGAGCATGCGTGTGTAAACAGGAGAACTCCCAGGCCTAGCTCTTAGGGCTGCAGTGAGAATACAGAGCTTGTGAAGACCTTAGGTTACACTGGATGTGAGGGCACTGCTGTCTTTATCATCATTACTGTGCACACATCTGGCATTAGGAGAGGTAGATTCCGGTCCCAGACCCCACATTAACTATCAGCGTGACCTTGGGCAAGTCAATTATCCTGCCCGAACTGGTCCTAGGTATGAGTTATTTTCCTTCTCTGCTTGGTTTCCAGCATTGAATGAGTCCCTGTGTTATCCTCCGCCTCCTTCCCTGCGGCACAGATAATTAGGAATCCATAGATAATTAGCAGCGTACCTTGACTTATGATCGCTATATTTATGAATATCCCAGTATATAACCAACCATGTAGAGACTCTTTCCTGGAAACTTCTTCCCACCCTTTCCCATGTCCCCCCAACACATTTCTACATCAAAAGTACAGAAAATAAGCTGGATGCAATGGCTCATACCTGCAATCCTGGCACTCAGGAGGCTGAGGCAGAAAGATTGTAAGTTCAAGCCCAGCCTGGGCAGCTGAGAGACTGAGCAAGAACCTCTCTCAGAATGACAAAGGGGCCCGACATGTAGCTCGGTGTGAAGGCTCTGAGTTCAATCTGCAGTGCTTCCCTACCCTCCAAAAATGAAAAAAATCAAACCATTTTTTAAAGATAGCTCTTAAAATTCAATATATTTAGCTTTCTGATAAAATGAATCACATATTTCTTATTTTCTCCCCTCCGTGTGGACTAACAAGACTCCATGGTGAATGCATAATCTCCCTGGATGGCTATGGGCGTGACTACAGGGTCTCCGGAAGCACAAACAACCTTTGGTTACCAAACCTGCTGCCCACCTGCCCCAGCCCTACCAGCAGAGAAGCTTGCACACTTACCAAAACCCGCCCACAGGGCTACAGTAAAACAATCTACCCTTTCTGTAAATTACTAAACGCTTCGAGGTTTTCTTGTAAAGTTCCCAAAACTCCAACAGCACAGTTGTGCCCACTGGATCTGAAGGAAGATAGAGGAACCCACTTCTGCCTGTATCCCCATAGAAGCCAGTTCCTGCCCATAGGAGCAGAAAGGGTAAGAACTACATTACCCAGAAGTCTCTGTGGCTGAAGTTGGGCAGACCTATGGCTTCCATTCCTGAGCTACAAGCTGGCAGGCTCCTTCCTGGAGCTCTAGTGGCCAATCAGAGCATGCAACCGAGTGTGGAGTGGGAACAGGGAAGGCAAGGTGACCCTGTTGAGATGTTCAAAGGTGTTTTGGAAAGAATGGGAACAAACATAGCCTGTTGGCAGCTAATCCCTAAAGCCTGGGCACAGGCAGAGCCCAGAGCAACACCAGGCTGCCTAGATCTCTACCTCTAAGGATGGAGGAAAAGAATCTATGTGCCAGCGAGTCCAGATCTGTCCTCCCTATCAAGGTGTCCTCCCTCTGCAGCCAGCTGGAGCTGGCCATGCAGCTGTGATGGACACAGGAGGCTTGGCACTTGTCCTTGTCCTTGTTCCACTGAACCAGAGGTTGGCCGGATCTGGAGATGGGAGGGTAGTTTCCACATCGAGGAGAAGAGCTGTGAGGAGAAGCAGGACCCTGGATGTGGCAAACCTTAGCAGCCTGAGCAGGTAGACAATGAGAGACAAGCTTTTGGGCACCTGTGGGCCAGAAAGCTGTATTTTTGGTCCTCTTTCCATCCCAGGAATGCAGTTCCCTGTGTCTTCTCTTTCCAAACCTGCTTCCGATCACCTGGTTCTGGAAGCTGTCAGAGTGGATGGAAAACGGGGTGTCCTCCATTCCCTGCTCTCACATCCTACGTGGGGCTTACAGCCATGCAGGGATGTGCAGACCAAGACTTCATCCCATCCCACATTCTTTCTTTTGGGGGAGTTTCAGAAGCCCCAAAGGAGGGTGTGGGTCTTCCCCATGAAGATCATCTGGCCAGGCGCTGCCCAAGTTCAAGACCATATTCCACCACACTCTGGGGTGTCTCAAGTGTGAGGTGATCACCTCTAGGGTATGTGGAAGTAGACAAACCCACTGGTGAAGTTTAAAAGCAGAGCTACTCTGTATAGCCAGGACAGACTTTCCTCAAGCTCCTCCCTTGCCATCTGCCCACTTCCCTTCCTCATGGGGCCTCAAATAGCAAGGTCAGAAGGTCGAAGGTCAGTAGGTCAGAAGGTCGGGTCATCCCCCAACAACAAAGCCCTATGATAGGCCAACTCAGGATCAGGAAAAGTTCT